ATGTGAGTTCATGAGAGTGCATGTGCACGTGTGGATACGTGTGCAACAACAGAAGTACATCGCATCCTTAAGTCGTTCCAGATGCGTGCGCAATAAAGGACGTGTACGCCCTTTATTCCCAGCCCTCCTTATTATAGCCGTGTTTGTGGGTTGTATGTTTTTATATATAATCAGCTGTTGCGATTTAACGATACAGCTGTGGATGGTCCACCGCACAAAAAGAGTCGTGGAAAGTGTGGTCTTACTACAGAGTCCTCAGTGTCTGCACACTGTACAAAACCTTCACTGTCACAACCCAACACGCGTTCCTGCTGTCCAACAAATCATAAAGCATCAGCTGAGCATGGGCATATGTCATGGCCCCTATAAAGACATTTTATCTTTTTATAAGGGACCATCTGCAGTCAGCGTGACGCCATTGCACCAGAGCATCATCATTAGAGATAAAACACAATTGTCGCAGTGATCGCTGAACATCAGCTGTGGTTCAGTGATCAGTTCCCTGGAGGGCATATTATTCCTCATGCTACAATCGGCCCCACAAAAGAGTTTGAGTAGTTTATTGCAGCTCCTGACTGATTTGTTGAAACAGATTTTGCTTGGATTAAGTTGAATGTCTTTCTTTTCAAAATATAGTAATTGCCATATCGTTCCTGCTCTGCGGGTGTGTAGCCACAAGCCTCTTGCTTACATTTCAGAAATGTTTTGACATAATCCCTAAATCCTTTTCAACCACCTTTTGTAGCTCAAACGAGACCCACACACCTGACATCTGTCTGTCACTGTGCGCACATTCATTAGTCTGGTTCAAATCTTCTGCACACATGCTGCACAGCTGGAACACGAGTTTGTTGTAACACCTGTAGGGCAGGTCAGGATGGAACAAGCCTTTTGGCGGGAGCACTGTACACTTTACGAACCCCAAATTATCATCAATAGATAATATGTGTGTGCAACTGGGTACGGTTTTGTTGCTTAAATGGTCCGATACAGACTTGTAAAGTTGTAGTATCTTTTTTCATCGTTTTCAACCTTGTGGTAGAACTTCATGGCATTTGTACGACCGCCAAAGTGCCTTTCTAGGATCTAGTTGTTCCGGCTTTTTGTAAGCAGTCATAAAAGACTGGAACGCTATACTTGATTTCTTTCATTCACACTCCCACATCTCAACAACCTGGTCGTTTTTGCAATGCGTGTAATTTATCATTGACCACTTTGTATTGCCTCCCATAGATCGACATTGGTGACAGGATTTAAAGTCAGTACATGGCATTTGACATCCGTGGAAAAAACCAGCAAATTCAGAGCATGTGTTTGCAGCTGCATTACACCCATCCACACAGAATGGTATGCACAGCTGCTCAACATGATTGAGTGAATGTTTTATCTCAATTTTGTTATGATTGAGTAACTGCACGGAGACATCTGGTTATGTTTTATTCTGCGCTGTGTATGCGCCTGCATACGTTAGAGCCACAGTGTCTTTGAGGAGAAACAATGTCCCACACAGCTAGATGCCAGTGTGGTGAATGCAGAAGGATCAAGCTGTGTGCACTCCAGAAAAGTGCAAGCACTGCGCAACACTTCCACATCCTTGATGCAGCAGCGCCTAATCTCTGCTTGGAAATCCAATGTTTCTCCATGAACTGTGTCATACCACTTAATACCCGTAATAGGAAGGATTGAGGTAATTGCTACTTAGTACTCATTCTCCCTATTGTTGAACTTGTTGAAATATCCCTTCTCCATACCCTCAAAACCTAATGCAGCAGGTGTTTTTCACAAACTCATGTAGAAAGCAGAATATACAGTATATATATATTTAGGCTGTCTGTAAAGCTTCACAAAAGCATCTATACATTCCAGTTTAAAAAAAACCTTTTCCCCCTCAATGTCCATCGTACACACAAAATGTGCCTCATGCTTGCCATTATGATACCGATTCTTTAAATCAAAAAGAAATGTAATCCGTTTGCGATTCTTCTGCTTGACAGGACTCAATGAAACATGCATGCGGCTCATCGCTCTCCACTTGTTGCCGTCCACAGTGTGAACACACGGCTGGTGCGCACTTGTGCGGCCTTTTGTCAACCTTGTGTGTTTTTCCACAGGCCTCACCAGTATGTCATTGAGATACACAGTATGACGCAGTGTACTGCTTCTGGAAGCTTGTGTTGATCAAAACATTATTTTCTTTTGCAGATGAAGCAATATAATAACGATATATTATCAATGGTATAGAACCAAAGAGCTGTGACAAAGTGTGGGATACCACAAGGTTTCATTTTAGGACACTTACTGTTTCTTAAATACATAAACGATCTTGGAGCAGACACAATATTTCCAATATTATTGGCAGATGATGGTAATCTTATCTCTAATACAAATGTGACTCATTAATGAAGTAAACACTGGTATTCTCACATATTCAAAATGGTTTCAGACAAATAAATTGGCATAAAATGTAAAAATAAAATCTACGTTTATAATATGTGCAGTGAAGTTGTATTATTATTCGAAATTCGAAATTAGTCGAATTAATTATTAGAAAAAAGTATATTGACGGTGAAGAAGACATCAACAAGATTTCTAGTGTTTTCTAGTATCCAGTGGATACATTTTTTAAAATCAGTTGGCAGTAGGTGCACTGCACAAGTGCAATCTCCAATCCATGTTCTATAAAAACAGTTTTTGAGAGCAGAGGACTGAACACCCTAAACATCTGCCACATCTCACTGACTGGGAGTGAGGAAGAATCTTCTCTACATCCTACGTGAGAAGAGGCACAATTAGTCTCTGAACATTTTCCAGGCAGGATCCGTCACAGCCTCGGCTTGCTTTGTTCACCGTTCGTTTGCCAAGATGTTGACAGCTGGTGAGCATCATGCGCTCAGTCTCAATTGTGTTATTTTCTGTTAAATGAGAAATTCATGCAGTGGCCCTAAATAATGTAGCAATATAAACATGAACAGGACAGCTAAAAACATGTAGAGTCACAAACATAACAAATGCAAGCCACCCAGCGGCAAAGGTTTCCAGATAGCCAATAAATATTTATACATTTTAATTATATTTTGCTTTTGTAGCATCATTGAAGCTGTTGTATTTTGTTCTTTTATACGTATTGTTGCCTTCCTGCAAGCACATCTTTTGTTTCCACACCATTCCTGTGTATCCAGTGTAGACACACTGTTACATGACAAGTAAAAACAGAGTGCATGAGCAAAAGGGCAAAGAGAGAAGGAGCGACACAGATATGTCAAGGATATGTGAGGATGTTTTCATGAGGCGAGGATGAGCAGCAGCATTCGTCTTCATCGTCGTGGACAAAAGCAGGATGGAGAAAATGACAAAAGGGGAGGGATAATGGAGTGAACAGCAGGACAATAAACAAGTGCGACATGTCTCTTTGACCACATTACATAAGCATGTGTGTGCGCCCAGGTGTAGGTCTGTGTGTGTGTGTGAGATTGAGTGTAATTTGTGAGTACTCTCGGTACTCAACGTGCCCTTTGACATTCTCCTTTGGAAGCTCATTACGAGCTCCTAAAAACAACGAGGCCAACACTGAATGAATAACAAGAGAATGAATGTGGATGTGATTAATTCTTGCTGACGGCAAAACATCACGTCACAGCTGAGATTACAGATGATCAGCACATGGACACTACAAAACAAAGCGAGAGGATCGGACAGTAAGACGGAAAAATGATGACAGAACACACAATTATCTGTTGTTTTTGCTTTAATGGAAACGTAGCTCATTGTTGTAACGAAGGAAACATGGAATATCATCGTTTAACTCCATCACCTTGTAATTGAAGATTTTTATTAATAATTTGTATGCAAATTATTTTCATCCAACCATTAGTAAATCAAAAAAGGATGACGGATAAATCTACAATACTATAAAACCGATAGTCAGTCCATGGTTCACTCTTTAGTGTTTTTAATTGCACCCTTGTCAGCACACACTCACACACACACGTGCGTGCACAAAGTAACCTTTTCCAAAATATTATATTCATGGTGAAAAAGGAAATGCTCTAAAAAGGTCAGTTCACCCAACCAAATCACATTTCACACTCAACTGCAGCACTGCAGGAAAAACGCAACCATTCATTTCAATGATGCACTTTGCACATTTCTAATATATTGTGTTTGTTTGTGCAGCAATATGACGCAAACGTGGCCTAATGGGAGAGCTCGGACAGAACAATGAGAAGCTACTAAGAGGGGAAACGGTAATTATGCACAGCATGGATCAAATGCACATTAGCGATGAATAATTATTGTTGTGTTTATGTCTGTCGTCGGCTTTTAGAGAATCAAACCTATTGGGTTGGTGACTGGACTGCATTTATATCGCACTTTTCTAAATATAGCATTTACGCAATTCACTCACACGTTCACACATTAGTGGCAGAGGCTGCCATACAAGATGCCACCTGTTCTTCAGGAGCAATCAACATTCACACACACTCATAGCAGTTTGGGTTTTAGTATCTGGCACAAAGGACCCTTCGACATGTTTACCTCAGCGTCCGCAAATAAGGAGCAAACTTAACAGCCACTTTAAAATCCTACAGGACTTGAATTCCTAAAACATAAATACTTACACCCAAACTCACCCAAGTTTACACTGAGCAGCGAGACATGCGCTGTTGACTTTTTGCCTTTGTGTATGTGTGTGTGTGTGTGTGTGTTTGCAGCCCCGCAGCTCATTATTCATTCATGGCCGTCAGTTGTGATATTCTACTCGAACGCTCCAACTGCTGTTTGTTTTTCACCGAGACGAAGGCTGTTATGTAGAGCGTTAATCTCCCTGTAAATAATATCTGTGTTAATAATTCATGGATTAATCAGCATCTGGAGGAAGAAGAGCAATATCAAAATTGACACGGAGCTCCAGTTTCTGAAGGACAGACACACACACACACACACACACACACACATACTGAGACAAAGAAAATGGATGGAGATAGTCATATCTGTTTGTGACATGATTTAATTTATGTAACATAAGCAAATGCAAATACATTGGGAGACAACACAAAACTACGTTTCCACTAAACAAGGAGAAACAGCAGATTTAGAAAGAACAAGATAATGCAAAACAATGAAATCTCTTTACATGTCCCTCATAACATAGTGAAATGTCCATTTTTATGCCTTTCAGCATCGACGACACAGGGCCTATTTGCAGCAAAGTGTAAATAAAGGCATAATAAAAATCTTCTCAGTTCTAAATTACATGAAATTGTTCAACAAATCTTTAATACTCTGTATCAAATCCTCAAACATCAGGCATGGAAATGGGGTCAGGAAAAAAATGCTTACCCAGTTCTTCAACCGAATTATCGCAGAAAAAAAGAAAGAATAATCCTGCTAACAGTAGCTACACGCTTGAGCCGACAAAATATCTCATTGCCCCCGTTTATTGAATTGAATTCTCCACCACAGAACGCTGTGCTTCTCCAAATTGTTCCTGAATAGTTTCTCAGATTAAGAAAGAACATTATTTAGTGAAGTAACAAAGATACTTCATCAAGCAAATCCTGCACAAAGCTTGACCTATATTTCTGTGGTTTTTTTTCGTGTGTTATCTGAAGATGAAGCACTATGTTTAGTCCTATTCTTCTATACAGGGCCTCTGGTAAACAGGATGTGACTGCCATTTTGTGTGTATCCCAGTTGGCCGACTTCACAGAGCACTGGTGACCTGGGATGTTCTGGAATTAAAACGTCCCAGTTAGTATTTAAGAGTCCCACGGCGGCTCCGACTTTTCTACTGTTAAGAGGATTTGTTTGTTAATTGGAGACGTGCGCCCTGCTCGTCACTTTACTTTCTGTAAACCTTCAGCTCCATGTTGTTGTTGTTCCTCTGTTGCTATTCCCTGTAGTGAGCCACCAGAATCAGTTTGGGTTTGGGGGTGTCAGCAGCAGCGGCGTACGAAGCAGCAGAGCGTCGATACGATATAGATGGCGTTGGGGCCGGAGACACGTGATTGGCTCCCTGCGAAGACCTTTGGATGGAGTTGGCGGGAGGAGACACGCGGCGTTCTTTCTCCTGGCGGGCGGTGCGGAGCGTCTTGGTCGGCCGTGAAAATGTCTTTAAGGTGGAGCCTCGCTCAGGTGTGGAGCACCTAAGGAACACCCTGAAACACCTGTAGAACTACACACAAACAGGATTACTGGCATTAGTAAGTGTGTAGTATTAATAGCAGTTGGTATTAGTAGCTAATGGGATGAATAGAAGACAACTGGTTGTAAAAGCCAGGAAATACACCATAAGTCAACATGAATGTAAAAGCTTTTAAAGGAGACTTGACCAGTAAATTAGATAAATGTAAAGAGGTAGGATGCTATAAATAGCAACCATCATTGTTGCATCATGATTATGTACTAGTACTTTGGTTCCACTGACATCCTTCTTCCCTCCTCCGTGTTGGGAGTCCAGCAGACAGCGTGCTGCCCTGGATAAACGTAGTGTACTTAGTATACTCTCTGGTTCCACACGTATACTTTAAGTCTACTACATTTCTCCAGGGCGCCGCAGTTCAAACGGGCGTGCTGCATGAAACGCGACACCTCGGTGCATCTCATTACATCATCAGAGTGTTTCCTCCAGCATGTTTCCTCCCAGAGATTGATATGACAAATGAGAACAGTTTATGCTGCCTTTGAGCTGAGATACTGCAGCAGTTGGCTGAAGTATCATGTATGAGCCAATTCATTTTTAGTTACCCCGAGGAAATTATGCAGCATTCCACATTAGCACTCTGTTTTCAATCTTCCAGTGTTCCAAATCCCAACGTATTAATATACTTGAGAGCTGCACTTGGACGGGAAGAAAGCTGTTGATTTAGTAGAAATAGAACCCCAGGGGAAGGAAAAGGAGTAGGTGTGTGAAGAGAGGGGCGTTGGAAGGAGACAGGGATGTCTATGGTGAAAACAAGAATCAAAAACAGAAGAATCGAGAAACAACAGGACAAACTGACGTCATAACGACACAAATTGGGATATTAAAACTGAGGAGTGACCAAATCCTCACCTGCCAAATCTGTGTGTGTCTTTAAGGCAAACAATAATATGTGCTTGTGTATCCGTGACTCTCGTCAAAGTCCAAAAAAGCCGCCTGGTGATATTTGTCAAAGGTTTGTTTACGTTTATATTTTATTCTGGCAGGAAAAAGAGAAAACGTTGCAAAAGAAAAGCTTTTGGTTCTGATTGGCATGCCAGTTTTTCAGATAATATCAAATTGAAGAAATTGCTGACTTATTTTGTTTATAAAACCTTAATATGTATAGTAACTCCAGCTGCCAGATAAATGTAGTACAGTAATAAAGTACAATACTTCCTTTTCCCTGTCATGATACATTTAGAAGTACTTCGATAAATGTACTAAGCGACATTCCAATGCTGCAATAGATGAACATGACCAGATATGAGCAACAGCACGCTCATGGCAGTGAAGGTGAGATTCCCATGATGACAGCTGAGGTGCGGGGCATGAATCCACGCAGCGCTTGAAGTCTTCAACTCGCCTCAACACACTGCTGCCATAGTTATGGGCTGGGAGGAACTGAAGACTGAAAGTGCCACACAGTGCGGCTTCCTGTTCGATCATCTGTGGCCCTGAAAGCTCAGTTAGCAGCTCAATCGTCACACACACACACACGCGCGCACACACACACACACACACACACACACAGACAAGCGCACGGAAAGGCTTCCCGTCCGTCATCATCAAAGAAAGTTAAATGTCTCCTGATCTCAAAAGTGACAAAGAGACGGGCAGTCCAACAGAGGAGACGGACTGAGGTAGAAGCAGATAAAAAGAGACGGGGACAGATAAAAGAGTGTGAGAAGAAGGAAAGGTCACCGTAACACGCTAATCAAAATCAAAGAACTTTCTTCCTTTTCTCTCTCGTCCCGCCCGTCATTGTTCTCCGTATCTACCTGTCTTTCATCTGATGTGTCTGTTTCTTTCATTCATTCATTAACTGCAATTTTCTATATTTTATTCCGTCTTTTTTTAATTTCCCCCTCTTTTCCATTTTCCTTCTCTTTATCACTGCTTCGTTCTTACTTTCCAACTTCTCATTACTTTCTTTCCTCCTCCCTTTCCCCTTTCCGTTCTTTCATTCTTTGTTCCTGTCTTTCTTCCATCATCCTTCTTTATTTCTTGTCCCTTCTTTTCTTTCCTCCTTCCTCCCTTTCTTTTTTACTTCATTTTTTCTTCCTTCCTTCACTGAATTTTCTTTCTTCCCTTTCCTTTCTTCCCATCATGCCTCATCTTACCTTCATCTTTCTGCTTCTTTTTTCCTTCCCCATCCCTCCTATTCCCTTCTTCTTCTTTTTTTAGTCATCCTATCCTCCCTCTTCTTTTTGCTCCTTCCTTTTACTTACATCACTTTTTCCCTCCTCATTCTCTTTACTTTCGTTCTTTTATTCTTTAGTTCTTGACTTACCTTTCCTCACTTTCATCTCCTTTTCCTTTCATCACATTGGTCACTGTTTCTTCTTTATTTCTTCCCTTCATCTTTACTTTACTTTATTATTTTAGACGAATTGGTGGTTAAATGAAAGACTACAAACTTCACGAGAACTACAAATAAACACTCCCAGTACTCATTGCATACTGTGTTTTACTGTTCTGTTTATTATTAATATTACCATGTACATTAAGCGTAGAATCATGCATGAGCTGTCTGCTCTGTGATGCTTCTATCTGTTTGCTGTTATTAATTAAGCCAGTCTCATAATGACTGTGGTAATGATTTATTGAAGGTGAAATGGTGCCCAGAGCACCTTGAAGTTTGCTCTGCTGTCAATTAGGACGGCTGGTGGCATCAAACAGATTATCTCCTCTTTCATTCTGTTTTCCTGCGCTTGAATGTCAGTGATGTAAACCTCACAGGCGGTGGGGTAGGGGGAGGGGGGGGGGGGGGGGTTGATGCTATTATGGTTTCGACACCATGATAATAATGTCTCACCTCTGTCTTTCATCTGTGTGTTTGTGTGTATGCCTTTTAGTGCATCATGCATGCAAAGTAGAGCAGATAATTAGACATGACCTGCTCTTGATTCTGATCTACAGCAGTTTAGTTCAGTTTAGTTACTCTAATCAATAAACAACACACACTGACGTCAGTAGTGATGCCTAAATATTAACTACCATTATGTGCATCAATGAATTACTGAACATGTCTACTGGAAACAGGCCCAGAGGCCCAAAGTGGCAGGGCTGTCCCCCTGGCCTTCACCTACAAAATATCACTCAAAGAGACACGTACCAACGAGGAAGAGACTCAAAATGACCACAAAGAAAACATTAAACGACTACAAAGAGACCAAAGCAACTACAAAGAGATGAAGAGCAGCTGCAAAGAGATACAAAGAGACTCAAAATGACACAAAATGACCACAAAGAGACACAAAAGGGCAAAAAATAACTACAAAAACACCAAAACAAATACAAAGCACAGACAGACACAGAGGACACACCCAGAGAGATGCGATGAAAGAAAAAAGAGTGATAACTCACCTGTTTGTTCATGAATATATAGATAAAAGGGTTGATGATGGTGGAGAACTTGGCCAGCAGCGACGGCGTGATGGTCGCCTCCGGTGTCAAAAGGTCTCGGGGGCCGAATGTTGCGAGCAGAGCAGCCACTCCGTAGGGCAGCCAGCAGACCAGGTAGCACACCACCATCACGACGACCATCACCAGCACCCGCTGCTCCCTGTGGCGCGTCGCCGCTGAGCTCACAACGCGCACCTGCGAGAGGAAAAAATAACTTAATTTGTACGGTTTCAACAGCTTGAAATCTAGTTAATTTAGCCTGAAAGTTCAGGAGACACTCTGTCAGTGTGCTCTGCATCTGGGGCCAGTTTATATAAAATGCTCTGAACGTACAGTCACTAAAAGATTGTTCCCCCACAGGGACTTTAACCTCTGTCATAGGATGAAGCTGTTCTTAGTGTCTATAATGTTGAACTACCTGAAGACACAGCCAATAGAAGCCTGCTGCAAATAATCCACCTGTAAAGGAAGAACAAATCTTTTTCTCAAGAAAGTAAATTCTCTTCCCGTTGTTTTGGGCTACAACCACCATACGAGGTGTAACTGCTGCTGATTCCAGGAGTGAGTGTGTATCGTGTCTCTACAACAATCAGCAACGGTTAAGTAAACTTCAGTAAACTTCAGTCTCGCTATGAAGTAGAAGTCTCCCTGCCTCCCCTCCCGTGGTTCTTCAATCATGCTGGAGAGGCGACACTCTTTAGGTGATGCAGTCAAATTACCACTCCCATAGGGAGCCTTCAAGCATGAACATGCCCCCCAGCTGTTTCCCCTTGTTATCTTGCTCTCTGTAACTAGTCCAGCCTGCAAAACCCGGATTATGGAACGGTCTGAGCAGAAGTCCTCATTTATTGGTCTTACACTGCAGTATAAGTAATTTGCAAAAAAAGGTCACAGACTCCCTATGTCTCCGTCTGCTAGGGACAGAAGCTCGTTATAACCAAACACCTGACTGAGAGCAGAGACACACACAATCAATACATCATTCAATACATCGACAGAGAGATCCGACGACAAGAACAACACAACTGAATCTTTTCAAGTTTTCATTTCAAGGAGCTGCAATTTAAAGCCAAACCATCACATCCTCCTCTGCCAACATACATATTGAATTAGGAAAGTTAAATACTCATAAAATAGGGCAATATAATAATATTAATAAAACTAAATCTGAAAAATTAATGATTTTCATATGTTAACTCTTGAGCTACAAATTGTACTTTACCTCCCCAGGCAACAACTGGGTTCTATTAATTTAGAAAACAACTTACAGAGGGAAGAAAATGTGTTTCTACCATGTCAGAGAGTCAAATTAAGAGAACGAAGAAGAACACATCAGTGCTGGAATATAGTCAAACTCTCAATCTAGTGTCACATTCAGAGGGAATATGTTTTATTATTTATTTTTATATATTGTCATCTATGTTATTGTCATTAGAAGGCGGACCGTTACGTCAGGGGGCACACATGATACCCGTCCTCCCTTAAGAATTTGGGTGTAGTTTCTGTAATTTATTCAACGTATCCTCATACAACGGTTCGTACATCTGACAAAAAAATGACTCGTCGTTTTGGCTATACAACTAAAATATATTAATATTACAGGTCTGTAAAGTGAAGCCATGCAGAAGTGTTTTAAACTTGAACCATTTTCGAAGATCTCCGTATTTATTTTTGTCCCCGTTCTCTTCTTGTATACTATACAGTATTTATTGCAGTGGAGCCCTCCGGATTTATCAATATTTGAATGATAATATGATGAGAGTTATGGGGTTGTTACCTTTATATATTTTCAATCAAGTCTGATCAAACCTCACCCAAACCATCCTGCTGAAGCAGAATTTTGGAGTGTCAAACTCTAATTAATTAATACCTAAAATATTTTGCTGTTTTAAAGAAATAGTCCTGCTCAATATTTGAAACATGTTTTCAGGGTATTTTTAGAGAGTGTGGAGCGTTGCGTCTTCTCCGCGAAACTGTAAGAAAATGATTGACTGTACGTCTGCTGTTTTTCAACGGTTAGTCCTCATCCTTGCAGCCTTTGTTTGAAAATGTAAGCAATAAATTGTTTAGTAGATTATAGTTTTAAAGCAAGTCAGCTGGAGTTAGCACTAATTAGCTATAGCCGGCTACAGCTGAAAAAATATTTCAGCTAAATCACCAGTTGTTGGCTTGAATTTAAAAGCCTACTTTATTGTATCAAATATGATTATACATTTTGACTTATGTAAACTGCACTGAAAAAGGTACTTTAAACTCGGCGATGTATTGAATTAAACATCTATTTTGGGGATTTTTACCTTCCAAAAGGTCATTACTGTGGTTCATTAAGTTGTGTTTTTATTAGGTCGTATAGAACAGTTATTAAGGAGCACAGGAATCTGTTGCTGCTGTATTACAAGCGCCGATGTAATCATTCTCACAAATGCGAGCTATTAGCGTAATATCCATGATGAGAAGAAAGTAAATCATATAATTCAGAGAGAAAAAATGCAAATGGATGCACAACTGCATCATAATCTCAATCATTAATGCCGAAAATAGTGCTGTAAGATGTATTGAAGTGACAATAAAATATTTAGGATTGTTATCAGTTCATTAACTGAAGGTGTTATTTATGAGATTCTTGTTTTTGAGATTCTGGCAACATGTTTGTCTTCATGAAGTTCAATGTTTCATCAGGTCGGTAATTAGGATGCTAGTTTAATAACCTGCAGTGGATCGCCAGCAGCTATGAATTTAATATGTAAATGAGCTCTGTGTGTTGTGGACTCTCTACTACCTGAAGCAAGATGAGGCAAAAGCAAAACTGACACGTGCAATGAAGACAGTTATCTGTCTGCCTTCAGGCTCGCTGACAACTCTGCAAAAATTGGGGATTGTCATTCAACAAAATCACAAACAGTTTCCTCAAATGTCCCACAAAGCATTCAATCTGTTTATTTTGGTCAGCAGTTTATTTGATGAGCTCCAAAAAAAAGTGTACACAAGCATTCATTTGGAGTCCAATATTCAGTCACCTTTTAGCTCCGTTTAATATCTTTTTAGCAGCTAAATGCTTCATCTAGATCTGCCATTTGGTTCAGGCTGGTATCTATCTTTTGATAATAACAGCTTCCTGCTGGAAACAACACTGATGATAGCAGTGAGAGGGAAACTAAGTAAAGTTAAAGTAAAGTTGAGGCTCAAAAAAGCATGACAATGAAGTGAAAGATGGTTGCTCCATAGTGCTGAGGGGAGTTGCAGAGTTGCTTTTAGTTGGTTTTGGGGGATTGTTGTCCAGAGGCTATGCATGAAAACAGAACAAACCCAAGACTGCTAACCCAAGAGTTATCTTCAATAAAAGCTGAATCATTTATAATCCATAAAGCATCAGTGAATTATTCAGTAGAACTTAATGAAGTTGTTTCCTGAAACTTTTAAACCTGCTGACGAGGATCCATCAACATATCTGCCACCTGCCACTACATCTGGCTCTGTTTACCTCAGTTTAATTAAGTCAGAAGGCATCACGAGCTAAAACAAGCAAGTCTGAGGAGTTATTCTCTCTCTCTGTCATAAGTCCCTCAGTCTTAAGGCATTTAATGACGACTTCCAGCAGATGTGAATTCATCTGCCACTGCACCAAACGAGGATATTAACCCATCTTATCAGTCTAAAGGTCAAAATTCAGACTGCTATGGAGAAGAACATCTCATCCCCAGTGAGTGAAAATTGCTCAAATTAATCTCAGCAGACCACTGATCACTGATGGGAAATCGCTGTGTGCATGAAGACTAAACTTAAGAGCAAATCTTCTCCTACACTGCAGGAAGCAGGGGTTCTGTTCGTAAACACATTCTCACCGCTGGTTGAACCTGCTGCTTAAGTGCCTCTTATTTTCTGATTCACAATGTTTTGAGGGCTCTGTCTCTTGCTTTTTGTTACGGTGCTCCCCTGAGGTGATTTGAACATGATTCATATTTTGCACTCCATGTTCTGTTCCATCTGACTGTCACACAAATTTGGAATGAGCTCAGATATAAACTCAAGGAAAGGTTTATTAGGAGAAATATTTCATATAAATAAATATTAATAATAAATACATAATATGCATGTATTTGCAGAACAGATATAATTTAGTTGACATATTAAAGTCAAAGTTTTTTAGTAAGAGAGTTTGGATTTCTGTCATTCCATAGAAAAAGTACTAAAATAACCACATACATGTGTATGTTTGATGTTTTCTCTCCACTACTCTGAAAGTCTCAAAATTGACCAGTGTCTTGCCTTAAAAAAATATTAATATATATTATAGATCAATAATTATAAATACAGCACTTCTGAGCTGTGAGCAAAATGCTCTGCATGCTAACATGTTGACGATGACAAAGCAAGCAAACATGCTGTCAAGCAGGTATGTTTACCATGTTTATTCTATTTCAGCATGCTAATTTTTGCTAATCAGTTGTTAATTGTCCAAAAACACAAAAAACAACTGAATCTGCTGGTCATTAGTTCTGCAGGCATTTGGTAATAAACCAAAGTAAGAACGTTGTTCAGACATTTCACGAAAAGACATAAATGTAAACGTCATGGTGGCGCTAGAGGAAAAATTGGGGGATTAGTAAAGTCATTGGCATTCATCCTCTGGGAAACATGAATGTCCGTAACAAATTTAGTATCAATCCATCCTGTATATGTTGAGATATGTCTCAAGATAAGTGAAAACTATAACCTGCTGGTGATGCTGGATACAAATTCAGGGAAGGACAAATTCATTAGGGTTCATCCCCTGAGGACCATGAATCTCTGTGTAAAACTTTAGTGCAATCCATATAGGTGTTGGGATAGAGATGGACTTAGCCATCCATTGAGTGATGCCGCTACGGAAATGATTAATAGTGTTGTGTTTTCACAGCTGATTAATGCTTTATAATCTTAAGAATACAAGAAATGCACCATTTAATGTTCATACAACCATAACAGGTGCCTTATGGGTGGAAACAAACTGCAACAACCATTCATGTAATCTTTCCACTTCCTTCTAGTGAGCACTATTTTATAATATTCAGGAAAACTTTGTTACTTTAATTTCAAATAAGTTCATACAAATACACTTTAAATGAGACCAAGTTTTAAAAAGCAACAACAAAAACAGTTCAGTGTGCTTGCAGGCATTGTGGAGACCCACAGATGCATAGCACATGATCCAACAAATGGTGTGGCATTCTTGTGCAACAGCATCAACAATGAACCACAAATTGTGGTTCATTGCCAGCAACAAACAAGTTTATCCATCTTGCACAAAGTTATGGGAAGACATATGACGCACAACCAAACACTGAGGTAAGCCTAATTCATAGAAACACTCAGTAACTATACCACGAGGCAGCCAAACAGATTACATAAAAGCAATAATTCATCATCAAAATGACGGAAAAAGCAAGCAGCCACACTTTCAGATGAACACCTAACATTACAAACACAAACACAGAGATACACATCCAGGATTTTGGACATCAACAACAAATTCATGTCGTTCAATTGCCTTTAATGCAACTTTTATCTCCAAGAATGATGGTCAAATGCTTTTATCACATCATTTTAAAGATATTGACTTTAAAAACATCATGATCAACTTTTAAAACCCACTGCCTATCATTTATGTGAAGCTGTAGACTATAAACTTCTCCCCAGATCATTGAGACCCCAACATTACTAAGGAAGGCATGACCTTAGTGTCTGTGGTCTCTGCAGCCCTGGTAAACACTGTTGCACACAGAGAAAAAAAACAGCTAAATTAAGAGTTTTTGTCTCTAGTGATTAGCTGACAATGTGTGTGAAGGTCTGCAGCCTCTAAATTTAACCACGACAGTCGTCTGTAATCTTGTCATTCACACCAGCCTGAAGACAAAACCTCTGCGACGCACAGCCTTCTAACTTAACTCTTTGGAATTCTCCCACCAGAAGGTGCCACCCTCAACTTTCCTCTAACCTACTAGTTTTCCCAGCTTTGTTTTACTGCAACGCAAACTCAACAACAGCAACGCCTCACAGTCAGAAATACCCAAACAAATTGATCATTTCACAGTGTTGGTGGAGAAGGTCCTACTCTTTAAGGACGCTCTTAAAGACATCCAGCAGCAACACGTGTTTTGCTGAGAATCTGCCTGAACGAACACATGAACTTAAAGTCAACAAAAGCTTAACAAGCAAGAAAGATGCTGGGGAATATTGAAATTAATTTCTATTAAAATGGAATCAAAGGTCAAAAACCAAGCAAGTAGTCAAAAAACTACTGGCTCGTAGACACTCGCTCTGCGATTTACAACCATAACGGGGTGTTACGCTTTGAACGAAGCATAATTTGGAACAAACTCTCTCAATCACATTTGCAGAATCACCTGTCTGATGGCTTGCAGCAGCTTGCCGTATGAGTAGAGGATGACGACGAACGGTAGTACCAGGCAGAAGGTGAACAGGCAGACGATGTAGGAGATGTTGTTAGGCGTCTGGGTCCTCCAGTCCACCGAGCAGGTGGTACCCGGACCCTCGGGCCCGTATTTGCTCCAGCCCAGCAGTGGAGGTACAGTCCAGGCCACAGAGTAGAGCCAGGAGAAGGTGATCCCTACCAGCGCTGGGCGGAAGTTTCTGCCGTCGGCTATGGTGGGCTTCATCATGGTGCAGTAACGCTCGTAGGACAGGACGGCCAGGGAGATCAGTGAGACGATGCCTGAGGAAGAGGAAGTATCGGAAAAGGGGTCAGTAGGTGTGTAACAAAATAAAGTGGCAGAACTGGCGATGCAACGATCCGATACGGACTCAAGTAGCTGGATCGGGTATCGGTGATAGTGGGGCAGATCTATTCAATGCAATTCTATGTTTACGTATATGCACAGAAACATTGATTTGAGGAGCGGAGACAGACAGCTGAACAGCCTTTAACTACCTGTGAATTATGAATTTGTTCTGTTGGAGTACACTGTTGGTGGACTGACTCAGTCCTAAATCAGAGCTAATCAGCACATGTTTGCTAAAGTGCTGGTCCAGCGACACTTCACCTCCGTTACAATGAGTCTCCCAGGGACAGAGCCTTTGATAATAATCACTGTACCTCTATGCGTAGGCTACTGAAGGATTCTGATTTGCTAACGCACACACACACACACACACACACACACACACACACACACACAACAAAGAGCGAGAATCGTGAGAAAATTTGGAATGATTTTGTGTGTGTGTGTGGCCGTTTTTTATGACATTGTGGGGACTCGCCTTCCTTATGGGGACAAAATGCAAGTTCCCATAATGTGAATCATTATATTTTAGGGTGAAGACTTGGTTTAAAGTTAAGGTTAGGTTTAGGCTGGTAGCGGTTATGGTTAGGGTTTAGATAAGTCTCCAGGAAATGAATGCGAGTCAATGTAATGTCCCCAAAAGTCATGAAAATACAAATAAGATAAGACACGTGGACTCAGAAGTACCCCTTTGGGTCAAACATACTTCATTAACATACCGTGTTAAAATAATGAAAGATTTAATCAGTTCTGAGTTATAAAGAAATAAGACAAAAGTCCATTAATGTCCTTATGTGTTGAATGTTTTGTACAATTATTGAATATTTCAAATGATTCTAGTTGCATTAGGTGGTCCAAATTCTTATTGTCTGTTAATTATTAAAATCCTTACTAGCCATGAATGTTGGGAACCAGTGGGTTTAATCAGGCACAGTGTGCTAAAGAAAATACATAACCGTGGAGAGGCATTATTTTTGGCCAATTGGATGGCAGCAGATCAAGCGGAAAATCAAGCAACGGGAATAATATCATCATATCACGTTTTCTATTGCACATCCAGCAGATACAGAGCGACATTAGCATTCATTTTTCCTCCTGGTCACCTGATTAATATTCACTTTGCTCTTTCATGGTCTCCACCGACTTCAAATGAGGGAAATACCGTGTGTCCGTGTGGGATCAGGAAACAAAATTATTTCACGACAAACTTTATCCATAACCTGCAGGATTATTAGACGCACAAGAAAAATAATCTGTGTTGAAATTGTAAAATCATGGATGAATAAAACTTGTCATGTTATGACACCCACAGCCTTTCCAGCCCAGTTTGGTGGATTATATTGATATGAACGGCCTCAGCTACCTCAGCAACAGGGAACCTTCTCTTAACAGCGAAAGTTTTTCCGTTCATTTCCTGTAATGATTGCACAGTCCCTCTCCGCTGCGCCTGCTGGGGATTCAGGGGCCGACGTATCAGTCCCTGACGTTGGCTTTGATTGGGAACATGGCCCACTATGATTCCCCACCATGCCTGTTAATAGGTTTTTCACCTGAGGCTTGATTCTTCTTCACCCTGCTCCAGAGTAGTGCGGAATAGATTTATGGTAAATGAATGACCCAATGTCCTACGCCTGAGTCAGCACGGGAGCTAATCATCTTTCATTGTCTCCCACTTTACTCTTCTCTCTCTCTAAATTTGTACTGCCCTCTTCCTCCCTGTGTTAGTCTCTCCTTCACCTCGGTCTCCGTCTTTGCTTTTTTCTTCAACCTTTTCTTCAACCTTTCTTCAAATCAGACCTTTTCTCACCAAATATTACTGCACACTCAGCAATACCCCCAGCACACAAAGAGAGCGTTTCACACGCACTGACTGCAAGTAACAAGATTAATCTTGTCATTTAGCATCTTAAAACTCCTGCATATAATTGGAGGCGATTGGTGAAACCTGATTTCCCGAGTTAGATTAGTCCTGGAGAAAGATGACCTTTCAAGTTTCTAATTAATTTTTTTACTTTTTCACGTGTGCACAACAAAAGGGAAAGTATCGAGTGACGGGTGGGGAAATGCCCTAAAGCAGTGTCATCATGACATTGATTATCTTTGTGTTTTGGACTGTTGGTTGGAGAAATTCAGCAGTCCTCAATGACGTAACGGAGAAAAGCAATTTGAGTCACATTGGAGTAGAGGGAAGTCAATGTACAGATCAATGTAACCATTGCAGCTCAACACGAAGCAATGCATCCTTGTATTCAAAATGACACCGGGTATCCTCTTCATGTCTGAATAAGTTGGTTTTCACAGCTGAGAAGCCGACTATTTGTAAAAGTAAGGCATATGCTGTGAGGTAAACTGTGTCTTGTGTTACTAATACACTTACTCCCTGTAAACGTAAATTGAAATGCTCCCTGCTTAATTTCATGGCAGTTAAAAAAAGGAACGGTAGTCAGTCCGTAGCTCCAGTGTTGTCTTGGTAATCGCAGCACATGCAGAGTGTGAAACGAGAAGTCCCAGCTCTGTATTTACATCCATCCTGCCAACCTGAGTAGATCCAATTCTGTGTTTCGGGGGCCCATTGATAACTGTTGGAAGTAAGAAGTTACATTTGCCTCCGTTTGCTTTTTGTAAAGTTTTCTTTTATTGAGAAAGGTATCTTCTGGTCTGAAAAAGTTAGACGACAAACATTGAATTCAGCTCCCTAAAGAAGAAAGCCTAAAAAGGTATTAAAAAGTCTTAAATTGCATTCTCTTTATTGAATTTCTGTCAGCACCATGAGACTTTTATTCATCCATTTTATGCAGCTTATTCGGTCCCCTTAACTGAATGAATTTTATGATCAGATCTTATTGTTATGAACAGAAACAAAGTACGGAAGAAAACACGATATAATATCAAATAACTCTAGGCCGTATTGTCCCTACTAGTTTTCCATCAAACTTTTGTTTTGTCCATTAATCCATCTTCCACTTACATATCGGATATTCCAGACATCCCTCGCTCCAGCAACGTTTCCAGCACTTCCTGGGGAACCCCAAGGCATTCCCAGGCCAGACGAGATACATATTTCCTCCAGCGTGTTCAGAGCCCAGCCACCCTCAGAAGAAAGCTTCATTTGGCTGCTTGTATCCGCGATCTCATTGTTATGGTCACTACCCCAAGCTTACAACCGTAGGTGTTGGTCGAAACTTAGATGTAGTAAATCGAGAGCTTTGCCTTATGAATGTTTTCCCTCTTTTCCACAATAGTCCAGTACAATTCCCACATAACTGCTGACACCGCACCAAACTGCCTGTCCATCTCACCATCTATTTACCATCACTTGTGAATCAGACCCAGCAATACCTTGAACTCCTTTGCTTGGGGCAGTGACTTGCTCCCAACCCGGAGGGTGCAATCCACCATTTTTTCAGCTGCAAACCGCCATGTTTGCCTTTGTGTACAGTATATGGACAAAACTACATACAAGGACCAGATGGCTTAAAGCAACAACTCCGGTACCCCATATTCCCTCAATACCCCCCATAGCACTCTACAAGGGACACGCTCATAAGCCTTCATCAAGTCCACAAAACACATGGAGACTAGATCAGGAAAATGCCATGTCCCCTCCAACAGTCCTGCAAGGGTAAAGAGCTGGTTCACCGTTCCACAGCTAGGATGAGGCTGCATTCCTCCTCCTGGACACCCCAATAATTGGAGCACACTCTCCATTACCCCTTTTTAAAAACTCCCAGGCTCCTCAGGCACTGTACCCCGACCTCTATGCATCACTGAAGAAGACCAATAATGTCCAGAGCCTTCAGCATCTCAGGGCGAATCTCAACTGGCGCCCTGTCGTTGAGGAGCTTTTTGACTACCTCTACGAACTCTGCCAGGGATATGGATGAGCCTTAAAACTCTGCCTCCTCCCCAGGGGACATGTTGGTTTTTGTCTGAGTCCACAGCTCTCCTCCCCTGCTGAACACAGCCTGAACCAAGCCTGTTGTTTAACAATTTGCCAGAACGTCCTTGATGCCAATTGAAAATCCTTCTACATAGTCTTTTTTCGGGTTTTTGCTTTGGTAACCCCAGTTGCTGGCCAACCGGTACCCTTCCGCTGTTTTTGGAGACATCTGTGCCAGCCAAGACCTAAAGGACTCCTTAAGCTTCACGGCCTTCTAGTGAGTTCTTAGATTGCCGCCGCGACAGGCAATGTCGACCTTCCAACCACAACTCCTAGCAGCCGCTTCCATACATTTGTTTCCTGAAACACGTATTAAACTGGATTCGATGTGGTATTAAATTGAACTGGTGAACTCTGCAGAAGCCCTGAACAGGTAATACAACAAATATTTAATTAAAGGAACACTAGGAAGTCCCTTCCTGTGGTACTTGTATCATTAAGTGCTTGTTAAGTGCTTTGCAATACATTTCTAACATTCACCTATTCATTCACTGAATGTATGCAGAGGCTGCCATACAGGGGCCACCTGCTCATCAGGATGTAATCTAAATGCTCATTCATGCACACACACTCACACACAGATGGCACAACCATCAGGAGCAATTGGAGTTCAGTATGTTGCCAAAGGACATTCGACATGCTGACTGGAGGAGCAGAGGAACGAGCCGCCAGATAGTGGCCTACCGCTCTACCTCCTGAGCCGCTTAATGCACACAAAGATACTGTGGCTAAATATGCATTCTAAAGAGGCAGTGCAATTGAAGCTAAATCTCCTCAGGCATTTTTTCAGTTAAAAAAAACACAATTTAGTTTGAACTCTGCAGAGTTCAAACCTACTTCTGAATGGTGAAAGGTTAAAATTTAACTTTCAGTTCTAGTCACTTCCACTAAAGGTAATTTCCTTATGATAGACTTATTATTTGTATTACTTCTTCTTGACATACAATTACACATTGCTTACAGTCTCTCCATCTGCAAGAGTACAACGTGAATTAACTTGAACTTATAGGTTATTTATTGGCATTCTGTCTGTTTTTTCCACAATTTGATCAATTCTGACCAAACTACTCGCATACATATTTGATGCTAGGGTGCCCATCTCTCCACTCCAGAGAGCCAATGATCAGCGCAGTCCAGAATTCAAACTTTAAAGCATTAAATTATTAAGGAATAGAGTCGTAATCATTTAATTTGATGGGAAAGAGATAGAAGACGGAGTACTCCGCCTTCTCTCCTCAGACCATTTTTTGACCTGGACTCTAAGTCCAGACTCCACAGCAAGGACAACTTATTTAAGAGCAACAACTCCTCGATGCAAATCCAGACCCCCAAGGGACACCGAGCGATTTAAGAGCAACAACACCTTACAGCAACTTATTTTAAGTCCATACTCCAAAGATGAAACAACTTATTTACGAGCAACAACACCTTACTGTGCGTCCATACTCCACAGGGAAGCAACCGTTTTTAAGAGCAACAACACCTTGCTTTATGTCCAGACTCCACAGAGAAAACAACTGATTTAAGAGCAACAACACTTGACCGCACCTTACTTCAAGTCCAGACTCCAGAGAGGAAACAACGGATTTGAGAGCAACAACACCTTACTGCATCTTACAGTACCCCCAAGAGAAGATAGGAGATTTAAGAGCAACAATACCAAGAGAGCAGTAAAAGTAACCAAGATGGAGGAGGAGGAGGTGAGTAAAGGAGAAGAGAGGTCTGTACTTTTAGTGTATTAACGGATTGTTCACTTAAGTTAGCTACGAAGAGAAAATCGTCTATTCAGTGAGAGCATGAAAACGCTGACAAACATAGCAGGATCACCCCCCGACCATCTCTCTTCTGGTTGTCTTCCCTCCAATGGCTAGAAAATTAGGATCCTAGTTTCTTGAACATTAATCAAGACATGGCAGTAATTAGGGAGACTGTCCTGAAACTGAGAGGTCACAGGATTGATTCCCAGCACTGGTGAAGAGCTCTGTCAACAATCATGTATGCACACATTTCAAAATCAGACACAACCCTTAAGGATCAAGATAAGAACCGAAGATCAGAAATGCTTTTTCCATGTTTTTGTAATTTCTTTTTTTGTTGTGTCCATCTGTTCTGCATCTCTCCTCTTCCCTAAAAAAAGTAAATTTAGCTCTGTGACCAAGTTTGAACTATGACATTACGATATTATTTATGTCTGCAGGAAGTTATGTTTCAATAACATACATAATCAGCAGTGAACAGCGCATTACCTTCACAACTTAATAGGACTGTAATTGAAATAAATGTCAGAATGAAATTGGTTAAGAGGATTTTAATCATACTGCTCATCTGCTGCTGGCATTGCCATTTATTCATGCTCCTGCTACAGCAACATATGTTATAGAAACTCTACAGTAACCTATTTAATTATAAGGGAACGTGCTGCTGCTTAGCCTTACAATCATGAAACGCTCTGATTTTTGCTTCCTCTATCGTTTTGGATAAAAATGCATGGTGTGCAGAATGGTCAAATTGAAAAAGAAAGACATTAGAGGGACCAGATTGTCACACTTTTAGCAACATTTAAAGTTAATGTTTGAGAAAAGAAGGCAGTGTACAAAAATACACAAAGGCTCTTTCTGACTTTTTTTCAACGCTGAAAAATGAGATATGCAGATTTAAGTCGTCAATAAGTAACGTTAGTGTGTTTCTTTGATAGTGACACACACCAAAGAAAATGAAAACAGTTGCTTACCTAAACATGCGTTAACGAACCCGTACCAAATGCACCCAGCGCGTCCGATCAGCCACCGCCCCTGGGTGCTGGCCGCAAAGCTGAACGGGGTGCCCAGCATGCTGACCAGCAGGTCGCTCGCAGAGATGCTCACCAGCAGAAGGTTCATGGGCGTGCGCAGAGCCCGGTACCGGCAGAACAGCGTGAGCACCAAGAAGTTACTGAGGAACCCAAAGGTGCCGATGAAGCCGAGGCACACCGCCACCACCAGGTGCCCCTTCGGGCTCAGGGACGGAGGAGGGAGAGAACCGGACGCCTCCTCGTACGCGTCCGTCGCGGTCGCCGCGGTGCCACCGGCTCCTCCCCCGGGACAGTGCACACAGCTCAGGCTCACGTTGCAAACGATCATACCGGGCTGAGCCGCGAAGTTTGCACCAGCCCGAAGTTTGCACCACAGGACGGAACCATCCAGTCTCGGTGCTGTGGACTCCACTAACTCATCTGGAGAGGCGAAGGCGCACGGGGGGGGGGTCCTCTGTTGCACCGTGCGCGCATGTGGCAGCTTTTAATAAAGGAAGAACTAATAAACGGTGGGCTGTCAAGTCCAAAACAGCTTATTGGCGATTGAGTGAGGCTTCAGGCAGCAGATGCCGGGGTCATGCTAGATCCGCCCCTCCGCCGAGCGTCCCGGGTCCAGAGAGGAGCGCTCCTTTTCTTGAGCGGCGACCGGTGGAGCGCTAAGTGCGCCTGAGCTTTTATCACTCAAAGCACCTTTTAACGCGCTGGGGGACGAAACCCCTCAACACGAGGCAGCGAGGTGGTGCGTGTATGTGTATCTTTGAGGATGCATGTGTGTGATGTTCTCAGACTGTCAATGAAAGCATTGTATAACATAATTCACCGGGATAAAACACACCGATAATTAAGGAACACTTAGTGGAAGGATGTGTGACAGGTGCGTGTAGACAGCAAGACCACTTTTCATCACATTAACCAGTGTAAACCTTCATGATCGATCCAAACTCTACTGCTGTACCACTGTGCATGCATCGAATTATAATAAATCAGAGATTCCTCCTGTCAACAGGAGATAATCTATAAGGTGCCTGCAAGGATCAGCCTGTCATAGCCAAAGGGACAAGGACTGATTGCTTCATGAGCTCATTTCAAATACTATGTAGGCCAATCCTTATTTCAAACCAAGTAAATCAAGACAATTGATATATGAAATATATTCTCCAGCATCAGAGGGATTTATCGGTTTATAGGGTTACGGCTTGATGTAAGGGGTCAAGAAATGTAATTATAAAAATATAAATGTAATTATTAATGCATCGATGGTATTAGCTCAATCCCTGCCCTTGTGTATTGATTGATTGATTGATTGATTTGTGTATTTCAGTGTCCTGCTCCAGATGGTGTCCAGCCCGCATGGACTTGCAAGACTGGACAACAACAACGACCAGGATGACCACATGACCGTCATAGCATAAAGTTCCACTAATTCCATAACAAAATGATCTCTTTATGTTGCATACAGTGTTCTCCGTCTTTGTTTCAAAGCATTTTCTAGAAATCTTGCAACAGCAAAAAAACATCTACTCGTAAAAAAGCCAACTCAACATATTACATTCAGACAACCAAAACACATGAACCTCAACTGAATTTTTTCAATCAAATGATTCCCAGAGATTATAAAACAAAAACACCGCTGCTCTTCAGGAATACCTTTAAATCTGCTTTCCTCCATTGCCAGCATTTAGGTAGCACACAGAGACCTCTGCCCTCTCTGTAAATTACATTTATATAATGTTCTGTGAAGTAATCCTCTTTGATTTAAACATAGTTTCTGAGCTTTGGTTTATTTCAAATCTCATTCTTCCATTGGTCCTAATGGATCTTGAGTAGTTTTTGTTTGACTATATTCATGTTACACTGTAAATTGTTCCTGAAAATAAAATGTGAAGCAGAAAAAGAAAACATTGCAGAGACTTCTCTTGACCATGGGCAACGGCTCTCAACATGTCGACGGCTGAGTCGGCGACTCGCAGCTAACGACGCTAACAAAACAAACAACGGCAAACTCGGATTACAACACACATATAGAGGGAGAGCGACTTCATTTCCTGCTCAGGTAGACATTAAACCACTATATCTTCACATAGATAACAGTTGGTTGCTGCTATATTAATGCTGTCAATATCATATTTAGAACCTTCAAGGCAACTTGTAGTGGGGTACAACATCCCACTACTTTCTGCTTTGGAACTTATCGACTAATCATTTCAGCTCTAGTTGTAGGTGGTGGAGAAAACAGAAATTATTCAAACCCAGTTGCCAGACATGAACGTCAGTATTGGATGATGCAGTATTGGACTTTTTGTTTTGTATGTCAACTCTTCTTGCAAACTGCTTTTTTTCTACAATATCTGCATATGGCAATGAGAAAGCCTTCACTTTGCATCCAAGTATACCACGCAGCATCATCAGGAAAGCATCGACATAAGTCTTTTAACAATTTAAATAAAGCACCTATTATGCCGTTATTCTGGTGGGAGCAGTCAGATGAAATGACAGGCCTTGCAGAGTTATTATGCAGGTAATGTACTGAAACACATATACTTATAATACACACACACGTTGCTCCCCCGCTTTCTCATTTGTACTTTCCTTTTCCTTTGATTTCAATGGTCACCTTTGAAGAAGTTGCACTCTTACACCTCTAGTGAGAAATTAATTATTAACAATATAATTAAATTTAATGAAATTTGCTTTATAAAGAATGTAGCAGTGTTCATGAAAACTTAAGTATAGGACACATTTCCGAGTATCTTTGTCTCTCAACGGACTAATATCCCTTTGATTAAGAATATGTCATTTTTACCAATGCATTATACATACAGCTGTGCAATTGGGGTTACACAATATCAAAGGCTTAATTCTGTGAAAATCAAGTTTTCATACTCTTTACAATCACGTGGATCACACTGGTGGGCATCAGAGCGCCAATCTAGTGGGCTGCAAATGCACAGCCAAATGGATATATGAAATTATTTTTTGTTGTTGTTGTAATTTACAAAGATAGTTATCTGTACATCTACATTTTGGATGCAGTGGCACAAAATGGATCAGATTTTGAAATGGAAAAAGTCATTTGGGAGACAACCCTGCACGAGCAAAGTAATGAAATACAACCCTGAATACGTCATTTGGATTTATAACGGCAGGCAGTGGATCAAAGGAGAAGGTTTTTTTGGTCAGTGCCATAATACATATTTGCAGCACAGTTTATTTGACTCCTTTGTGTCATGTTATGGTTTGTCTGTTTACAGCTACTGTGGAAACATGGCAGAAGTTGTAGAAGTTGTGTCCAGACTAAAAGAGTTATCAGGTTATTATACACCAAAGAAAAACATACCTTAATATCATGCAGCGCTATTGCTTGTAGTAGATTGACTAATTAATGAATATCAGAATATGATATTATCAAAGGTATGTATCAAATCCGGCAGAGCAGCGAGGGAGAGATCTGGCGTACAAGATTCAAACTTCTTTAGTCTTAGTTGGAGCATATTGGAGCCCAAGTGAACGAAGAGGCTTCTTTAGGTTCTTGTTTCAAAGATCGGCTGGATGTCCTCTTAGCATGTGGAGATGTTTCGGCTCGCAGTGGGCCTTCGATCCTGCAGACAGACACAACTGCCCACTTTACCTACCCCCCTCCCCTCCCTCCCTCCCTCCCTCCCTCCCTTTGCCTGCTGGGTAAAGTTGTAAAAATCACAGTTCAGCGTCGAGGTCGGGTCTAGAAGAGACATTTCTTCTGACTTCTTGCTAATGAGAAAAGGGTGCAGTGTTTATTTGGCGCAAACAGCAAACACTACCATCACAACAACAATTTAAATTTGACATTTTAAACATGGCTTCTTGTACATTTTAATGGCCAATGTTTACAGAGTTTTCCTCTGAGTCTGTTGAAAGAAACCAGGTATCAGACCTCAATAGTGCCCCGGAGGATTCCGGAAGAAGTTTATCAGTTCAAATTGGAATGAAAAAGACTCTTCATCATCACCTTTATTATCACATTTCTTTTTTTTAATGTTTTGAAAAGATTGTTGTAGCATTTGAATCATGTGCTGCAATAACACAAAAAAATGTTTCATGGAATTTGCGAAATTAATGAATTCTGTGTGAAAGCAATGAACAGTTTGTTCCACACACATTTCCAAGACTTATATACAAGTTTGACAACATTACTTCAATTTTGACTAATGCATGTTAGTTACTCAGTAATTCGACAACGAGGCTTATTGTTCAAATTACTACGGATACGCTTCTAGTTAAGTCATCATAGGACACATAGCATCAATTAAAGCACCACAGCAACCGAAGTCATTTAGCGAGTCATTTTCAACAATCATTTCTTTGTACATATTTCTATTTGTAAAAGGCTTTTATGCGTGCGTGTGTGTGTGTGTGTGTGTGTGTGTGTGTGGGTGTGTGTGCACATCAGTGTGATGTGGAAACCCATCAGCGTGAAGTTTGTTGACATTCAAAGAAAATCATCAAAGCTTTCTTGCAAGCCGGAATCAAAGGAATCCCAACACAACCAGCCTGGTTTCACCTCTAAACCTGACTTCTTTACATAAGATGAACGATTCCTTGGATTCACAAATACATTGAATCTCCTTTTGAAACTGAAATGTGGATATTAGGAAAACGTTTTTAAGTACAACATTATGTTATGATAAACTGCCACCTCCTCAGTGGTACATTGAAGTTAGATAATGTTTGACTTGGCGAAGCTGCACCGAGCTGAAATCAAACCAATGCTGACCTTCTCATGCTGACCTGCCACCTTCTCATGTGTCTTCTGGTTGGAAAAAACCAAGATGGCGACGGCCAAAATGCTGAACTCTAGGCTTCAAAACCATTATCCACAGACCAATGGGTGACAACATGACTCAACAAACAAAACCTCCTTTAATCCCTGGAATGTGTTAATACTTTTGGGGACAATCAATGGGTAGGTTTTTAATTAACTACTGCAATTAAACATAGACTTGCCCACCTTGGTAGTCAATATTCATCGTTATAATACACTATCACTTTGTATGACAATACCATTATATTCACTTCCTGGAAGAGGGTGTAATGTTTAAGTTATGCTCTTCTAATGGCCAAAGGCCTCAAAAATATAAAACAAAACACATTAAAAATGATTTATGGTAACAGCTGGTTAAAACCAGAAATAGAGTCGTTTCAGTTTTCAGTGCCACTAAGTGCAGAGAAAATACAGGCAATGAAACCAGATGGAGATAAACACGAGTGCAGCCACAGGAGGCTCATCACTGGTACTTCTAGGTCAAGTGGAGACATGAAGTGATGGGAATTCATTAAATTTGATCGCCTGAATCACTCAAATATCACCTCAACATGTGGTGTAACACATCAAAGTAGTTTGTATGGCTGAAGGTTATGAAATGAGTTAGCAACCCTGTAACTAAGATGAGAG